CCAGGGGCAGTGAGCCATCATAGAGGTAGTTTAAGAGTAAGGTATGTGGGAGGTGAGGTCCCTGCAGGTTGCAGCAGCTCAGTACCCTTCAGCTGATCAGTCTTTGTTGTCACCAAAGAGACCTGTGCAGTCCCAAGCTCATTGTTTAAGGGAAAATATGTTTTCAGCCTCCTGGTCGGCTTCTTCCTTCTCCAGGGGCAGGATCTGAAGATAATCAGTTGCTCTTTAGTGAACTGAAAGCACACTTAGAAACAACAGATTGGTTCATTCCTAACCATAGGCTGCACCCTTGCAAGGCTCAGATCTCTTGTAGAGCTTTTACCCTATAGCCCCTTATTGATTTTATATAGGTAGTTTCAGAAGAAAGAACAGCATTGGATGAATTTGGCTTTGAGATGGGCTTAGTAGCAAAATGAGCAGAAAAAAAGGACTCTCATTATAGCCTTTGGGATGGCTTACCATAGGAAGAAGACATTGTAACACCAAGTGGGGCTAGCCCCTAGTTTTAGGAGTGTGTCCTTATTTATTTATTTTTTTTGATTTGGAGTTTCACTCTGTCACCCAGACTGGAGTGCAGTGGCTGCTCCCGGCTACCGCAGCCGACCTGCTGGGCTTCGGCGATCCTTCTACCTCAGCCTTCCAAGTAGCTGGGACTACAGGCGCGCACTGCCACGCCCGGCTAGTTTTTTTGATTTATTGTAGAGATGAGGTCTCGCCAGGTTGCCCAGGCGGGTCTTGAACCCGCGGGCTCAGGCAATCCACTCCCCTCAGCCTGCCAAAGGTGCGGGATTACAGGCTGAGCCACCGAGCCCGGCTAGGAGTGTGTCCTTATTAAACTGTAAACTTCAAAAGCAGGAAACGTGTCCACAGGAAACCTTGCGCAGAAATGTTCACAGCAGCTCTACTCATAATTGCCCCAAAGAGGAAAAAACCCAAAGATCCATAACATGGTGATAGATGAAATGTGTTCTATCCATACAATGAAATATTGTTCGGCCATACAAAGGAATGGAATACTGATATACCCTGCGACATGGATGAACTTTGAAAACATTCTGCTAAGTGAAAAAAGCCAGACACATAAGACCACAGATTGTATGATTCCAGTCCAGAATAGGGACATTATATAGAGAGTCCTATAGTAGACAAATGATTGCCTAGGACTGGGGGGAGGGGAACTGTGAGAAGGATAAGTATGATTGCTAAAAGGTATAGGATCTCTCTCTCTCTCTCGCTCTCTTTTTTTGTTTTTTTGTGAGACAGGTCTCACTCTGTTGCCCAGGCTGCAGTGCAGTGGCATGATCGTCATCACAGCCTCGACTTGCTAGACTCAAGTGATCCTCCTGTCTCAGCCTCTTGAGTAACTGGGACTACAGCTGCTCACCAGCATGCCTGGCTAATTTTGTTAACTTTTTGTAGAGATAAGGTCTCACTGTGTTGCCCAGGCTGGTCTAGCATTCCTAGTCTCAAGCAATCCTTCCACCTCAGCCTCCCAAAGTGCTAGGATTATAGACATGAGCCACTGTTCCCAGCCAGGGTATCTTTTTTGAGATGATGAAAATGTTCTAAAATTGACTTTGGTAATAGATGCCATATCTAAATACACTAAAAGATATGACATTGTACACTTTATTTTTATTATATATTTTTTGGATTGAGTCTCACTCTGTTGCCAGGCTGGAGTGCAGTGGCATGCTCACAGTCACCTCAGCCTCGACCTGTTGGACTCAGGTGATCCTTCCACCTCAGCCTTCCAAGTAGCTGGACAGGCATGTGTTATCACGCCTGGCTTATTTTTTGATTTATTGTAGAGATAAGGTCTCACCAAGTTGCCTAGGCTGGTCTTGAACCCCCGAGTTCAGGCAATCCTCTTGCCTCAGCCTCCCAAAGTGCTGGGATTACAGACCTGAGCCACTGTGCCTGGTTATTTTCATTTTTTGAATCAGGGTCTCACTCTGTCACCCAGGCTGGAATGCAGTGGCACAATCATGGCTCACCACAGCCTCAGCCTCCTGGACTCAGGTGATCCCATCCACCTCAGCCTCCCAAGTAGCTGGGAGTACAAGTGCACACCACCATACCCGGCTATTTTAAAAATTTTTTTGTAGAGACAAGCTCTCCCTATGATGGTCAGACTGGTCTCAAACACTTGGGCTCAAGCACTCCTCCTGCATCAACCTCCCAAAGTGCTGGGATTACAGGTGTGAGCCACCATGCCAGGTGGCATTGTATACTGTAAATGGGTGACTTGTATGGTATGTGAATTATAACTCAATGAAGCTGTTAAAAAAAATACCCACAAAACTTCTTGTTAACCAGGCCTTTTGAGAACTGTATATCATCTAATACGGCATGCCAAGATGAGCATGTCCAGGCATTTCTGGGGTCTGTCAATTTCACTGTATCGTCTATGCCTGCCCCTCCCCCCTGCCACCACCAAAGGTAATCATTACTACTCTGCAGAGATGAGGCCCCTTGAAGGGCTCAATGCTATGCTTGACTTTGGGGAAGGAATGTGATAAATATTAATGTAATCAAATATGCAGATGCCTAGTGTTTAAAGATAAACATTTTTTTTTTTTGAGGCGGAGTCTCACTCTGTCACCCTGTCTGGAGTGCAGTGGCATACTCAAGGTCACCCCAGCATTGACCCACTGGGCTCTGGCGGCCTTCAGCCTCAGCCTTCCAAGTAGCTGAAACTACGGAAGCATGCTACCACGCCTGGCTAATTTTTGATTTATTGTAGAGATGAGGGCTCGCCTAGTTGCCCAGGTTGGTCTTGAACCCGCGGGCTCAGGCAGTCTACTTGCATCGGCCTCCCAAAGTGCTGGGATTACAGGGTGCGCTACCGAGCCTGGCAAGGTTAAACATTATTAATGATTCCTTTTAAACTAGTAACAAACCAAGGAATAGGATGGAATACTGTTCTCTGCCTCCATTGCTATGGAAAAGAGCAAGGTTGTAAATTCCATTTCGCTGTGTGAGATTTTTTCATTCTAAAGTATTATTTGTAATATGGATATCCGATCGCTTTTATATAGCTACTTGCTGATCATTTTTTTTTTTTTTTTACTTTTTTTTTTTGAGTTGGAGTCTCACTCTGTCAC